GCCCGGCCCGGCCCGGCCCGGCCGGCGGCGGCGAGCCCCGGACCCGCCGAGTCCGAAACGCACTTCTGTACCTGGTGAAGAGCGCAGGGCGGAGCGGGACAACGGCCAGAGCTGCTGAGGCAGGGGCCGCAGCGCCGGCTTCGGCCTTTCTTTGGGCGGCGCGGACCCCCTCAAGAGGAGCGCGGCGAGATGCAGCTGCGACGGCGGCAGACGCCCGCCCGCGCGGGGCGAGGCCGAGGGCGTTGCTGCTGTCCCGTCGCTGTGGTAACCGCTGGGAAGCCCTCGCGCCGTAAAAGAGTAGGGCGCAGGCGCGAGGCCGGGTGCAGGCGCGCTGAAGGTTAGATGGCGCATTACAAGGTAGGAGGGAGCGAGCCGGCGGCGTGGGGTTGGTGCGGCTTACCGTGCCGTCTGCGCGGAGGGGCAGGCCGTGGACTGGTGCCGGCTTGGCCCTTCGTGCCGCCTCCGCGGCGGAGAGGGGGGCCGGCCTGCCCCCACGAGCCGCCGCCGTAGCTGGGGGGGGGGTCGCCGCCGATCTGACCGTGTGGGCGTCCTCCCTCAGGCCGCGGACTCCAAGCGGGAGCAGTTCCGCCGGTACCTGGAGAAGTCGGGGGTGCTGGACACGCTCACCAAGGGTAAGTCTCCGGCGGCGGCTCTTCGGGCGCTTCTGCGGGCGGGGGCCGTTCCCCTTGGGGCGTCCCGCTCCCGCGGCGCAGCTGCCGCCCTGGCACGGCTGTGGTGCGGCCGCCCCTCGGGCTGCCTCGGCGCTCTGCGCCGGCTCCCCGCCTCGGCGAGCCGGTCGCTCTTTCTCCTCAGTCTGCGTGGCGGCCGGCAGCGGAACTCGCCCGGACGACTTGGTGCGGCAGTGGAAATGGAGTCGGAGCCGGGCGGCGAGGCGGTGCGCGCTAGGGGGGGGCAGGGGGCCTCTCTGGAAACGTGGCCTGTGAACCACCGTGCGTTCACTCCTTGCTGGCAGTTCGCGCGTTCGTTGCGCGTGGGTCGATTGCTAGAGGCGTGTGTGGAACAGGAGTGGTAGAGACACGTAAGGGGCAGGAAGGCGGTTCCTTTCCCCTTCCGTGGTGTGTGAGATCTCTCTTACTCGGCCAAAGTGCTTTTCTCTGTGCTTGCTTTTGGAAACAGCTGAACTTCTTGGGGGCTGTTATTTGGCCAGAGCTGTCCAGAGAAAGCAAATGCTTGAGACAAAATAACAGTAAATGTGCTCTTAAAAACAGTCTATTTAAAAAGACCCTTTCTTGAGTAGAGCTTGGTGCTTCTCAAACTAATGAACCTGTAAGTTTTGGGAGAGTGACTGTCTGTATATGAATGGGGAAGATGATGATGCTGAACTTGATGCATACTTTGGCTTTCTGTATGGCTTGGCGTCTCTTAAATCCTTCTGAAGTCTTTTTGAGAGCCTTCCAATAGTATGTGGAGAAAGCCTTTTAATATTACTGCTTGAAAAACATGCTGTTTGAAGAGGGAGCAGCAGATCTAGGATGTCAAGTGAATACGTGCTGCACTAAGACTCTTGGCCTGGTGTGTGGGTACCACTTGTATTCTTTCTATTGTAATATGAAGCGTCCTATCGGATGGCAAAACAAGTCTTCCAAGCAGCATGGCATCCTAATTTTGTTTTTAACTTAGGTGCTTAGCTTAAAACCAATTTGGCTGTGCAGTTTGGACATCTGAAACTGGGAGAAGGGCTTCAAAGTATTTATGAAAGCAGACATCTGCTATAGTCATGTATGTGCCCCTGGGGTGAGGGGTGAGTGGTTATGTTTGGGAACTTCCCGAGTATCTGTGTGACTGAGTTCT